GGAGATCATCATGTAGACTTAGTAAGAAGAGCGTAATCACAAAACACAGGTCAATGGATAGGGAACTTATATTTAGCTTATATTTAATGTCATAGCTGTGTATGTACGTTCCTGTATGTAAACTTTGTATTATGGGTATTATAACATTATATAAACATATTTATAATAATACAGTGTACGTGAGTTAATTCATCATTGAGTAAAAACGTACACTGCGTGGAAGTCCTGATTGGATACAGTGACATTGTTCTTTTTGACGATCGCGACCACGTATTTCACCGACCGTAATTGATTAGATATTACACTAAATTGAATGTAAATCAGTTTGTATCCATCCATAATACATTAATATGCTTCTTTGGCCCATTTCCGTCTATTTTAAATTCCCCAAGAATGTCCTTTAAGATGAAGAAGAATAAGAGAGAGAGAAATGGGGTTTAAAGGAGCTAAATCGCTAATATTTTGGACCTAGAAATTGGCACAAATGAGTCGCAACACATATAATAATGTAATATGAATTTATATAAACTGTTTTACATTCAATCGTGTCCGTTTTACTGTGAATTGTCATCAGTTATGTTCGGCGAAATACGCCAGAAGTCTCAACCGCAAGTCAGTTTCTAGCGTCTGGTTATTCCAGTCAACACCGATATTATTTATTGCGCATGCTTTCCAAATAAGAATGTCAATCACCGTTTGACATGACTTGTGGAATATGTCTAGCCTCATTCTTTGAGCACCTTGTTACCAGGGCTGGGGCCATTACATTGCCAATGTAATTAATTACATTACCACTACTTTTTAAATGTAATCATTACAATTACTTTCTCATGTTTAGCAATGTAATTAATTACCATTATTCATTACATTGAAAGTAATTAATTACCATTACCCATTACTTTATGACTATATAAATAAAAAAAAATTTCATAGAAATAAAAAAGACAACATTATTTTTCTGCCATGAAGTACCTACAAAATCAAACTCAAAATAATCCTTGATTCACTTAATAGATATTTGTTTATGAATTATTATTTCTAGCAAATATAACATCAAGGCAAATTTTATAGTGACGGGCAGTGGTGACAAAAACTGACATTTTCACTGTATGACTTGAAAAATGAATCAAAACTATAGTTAATTAACTGTATTTTCTTTTAAGTAATTTTTAAAAAAATTTAATCAGTCCAAATAGTTTTTCTATAATATATTGTATAATAAATGGTAAATTATTCTGCATGACTCTAAAACAAAATATATATTAGTTTTAAGTATCCATAAAATGATGAGATTCTTGAAGGTCATTGTTTGGTTTGTCACTTGTTTTTAATCTAACTGATTGATTGATTGATTGATTGATTGATTGATTGATTGATTGACTGAGTGATTGGCTGCAAATTAGTACTAATCTTTGATTATAATATACATCTTATCAGAAATCCACTTCTTAGGTTACATGTCTAAAAATGGTTCCTACATAAAAAGTAATAAAGAAAATGTTTAATGCCTTCTTATTTTTCTTATAATTTTTTAAAACTGATTTAAATCTTTTTTTTAGAATTATAATGAATTGGATTTGTGTCAGATACACTTAATTACTTCTTTGGTGCTATAAAATTTGAGGCTTGTCATATTTTTAATTGGAAATATTTATATATGTCATAAAATGTAATTGAAAAGTAATTGAAATGTAATTGACCATTACATGATTTTTGGAATGTAATTAATTACATTTCCATTACTCATTACTTTTGAAATCTTCCATTACTCATTACATGGCCATTACTTAAAAAATGTAATGATTGCATTCCATTACCATTACCCATTACCATTACCCCAGCCCTGCTTGTTACAAATGGCGCTGAAACGCATTATGGTACACGATTCGTGTACCAATGGTAAAATGTTTATTTTGTCTTAAATATTGGATATCAGAAGCCCATCTTTTCCAGGTAAGATCACAACACCAATGCTGATTTGAATTGCAAAAAAATTCATTCGTGTTTTCAATGTCGAAGATTTTGGATGATATTGAGTTACGGACTTAGCTACTTTAACGTCCACTCGACACAAATTAGGTCATTTCGGGACAAACATATGGTTCAATTTTTTTTCCATAATTCGCTTGCGTGTAGGGGTCTTTAGCAGTGGGAGGAAACCGGAGGACCAGGAGAAAACCCACGAGGTTGGGAAGAAGAATAAACAATCGAAAATAAAATTAAAACGAAATGTTGGAATCATTTTAATTAAACTGAAAATAACTTAATATACTCTCCAAAAAAAGTAGGGGATATTCAGAAACAATACTGCTGTTTTTATTAGAGGTAACCAGTGTATGTTAATAACAGACCAATTGCCTACACATAAACATAAACAGTTCATATGGGCGGCTTATCTGACGGCCCCATTTCACTCGCAAAGAGATACACCGTCATAAGTGAAAATGGACGTTTTTGATTTTTGTCCTAATAATGAGTAATTGCTCCACCAATCCTCAGATATTCAGCAATTCGTCGTGGCATGCTCCTAATCAACCGTCCAATCACGATTTGTTGCAATCTGACCCACTCATCTTGCAGTACCAGGGGTGATTCTTGCAGTGTTTTCGGTTGACGTCGACGAACACGTCTCCCGATCAAATTAAACGTAACACACTAAAGGAAAGGAAAGCAACCATGGATAGGATAAACCAGCACGCGGCAGTTTTCATCAACCCTTCTTTGAAGTGTCAAATTTGACAATGAACCCCTCCCACGTGTATGGCGCTATTGCGTGTCGCATGTGCAGCTCAGTGGTTCTGATGGGACGATAAGTTCTTCATCTGTGAACATACGCTCAAAGCATGTCAAATGTCCATGACTATTTATCATATCACAACCTGCATAGGTATTTGCATTTCAATATCCCCTACTTTTTTGAAGAGTATATATTATTACACCCATCACACATGAGATATTAAATTTGTAATGTAAAAACAATTTGATGTAGGACTTATTTCGGAGCAAAGAATAAACAATCGAAAATAAAATTAAAAAGAAATGTTGGTATTATTTTAATTAAACTTAAAATAACTTCATATATTATTACATACGGAAGCGTATAGGGGTCATGCAAAATTGTGTAGAAGGTCTCGAGATCCTGCGATCCTGTGATACTTTCTCGAAATCCCGTGATCACCTGGTAATTTTCTCGAGATCTCAATTTAATGTTCTCGAAATCCCCTGATAATTTTCCTGGGATATTGACATCCTGTGTAAATTTTCTCGAGAATTCGAGTTAATTTTCTTGAGATATTGACATCCTATGTAAATTTTCTCGAGATATTGACATTCTATGTAAATTTTCTCGAGATCCCGAGTTAATATGAAACCTTATATGATAGTGTCTCCACGTTGTGAAGCAACCATTGTCCCAATACTTCGCACCAAATTTGATAAAAAAAAATACTCTAACATTTGTTACAAAGGAAAACTGCTAACTAATGAAAGAATAAACGGACAATCGATAGGGTACCCATGATTTACACTAAATTTGACATATGATTAAAATCGATTGGGTTCTTCGTCTTATGGCCCCAATACTTCACACCAAATATGAAATTCAAAACCCTACCACGTTAGCTTTAATGTGTAAAGCTTTGAATTACAGACTTGCTTGTTAAATTATTTCAATTTAATGTGTAGGGTCGTTTAATTGAAAATGTCATATTTTGCATGGTTTTCGGACCATATTTTGTTTTAGAATAAAGCTAGACAGAGAGTTTATTGTCTTGTGGCACAAATGCTTCGGAGCAGATTTTTAAATAAAAAATCTTGAAAAACTCTGGGCTCTAACGCGTTCACAAGGTTTTACCGGAAAATAGGAATAACGCCATAACAAAACTTCAGGGAGCGCTGAAAATCAATAAGGTTCATTGTTTCGCCGAAAATAAATAGGGTTCCTCTGCTTGTGACACTAATGATTCAAAAGAAATTTTAACGATAGTCACGCAAAGTGTGGAGATACGCCCACGCAGCATCTATGCATCAACAGCAGATTATTCGAAAGGAAAACTTGGTTGATTAATAAATTGTATAATGGTCTAGCATTTATCAAGAAATCTAATCTCTATCGTGTTCGCGTGCTTGTTATCTCTCTGGGACAGAAATCTTATATTGCTGAAAATTAACAGGGGTTATCCTTGTCGCGGAACACTGAATATCGAAAATCTGTTAAAACACAAAATTTGAAACAAAACCGTTAAAAACTGTAGGCTCTATCCTGCTATTAAGGTTTTCGGGAAAGTGTGTGTGTGTTCGGGGGGGGGGGGGGTAAACTCCGAAACAACAGGTTGTTGGGCGCTGAGAATACGTTAAAACTACGCGCACACATAAAAATACCCGAGATCTCGAGAAAATTTACACAGGATGGCAAGATCCCGAGAACATTAACTCGAATTCTCGAGATCGTTAACGCAGGATGGGAGATTCTCGAGAAATTTATTAGGGGATTTCGAGAAAATTAAATTGAGATCTCGAGAAAGTATCACAGGATCGCAGGATCTCGAGGTCTTCTACAAAATTTTGCATGACCCCTATACGCTTCCGTAATTACACCCATCACTCGATATAAAAAAAACCATGAGATATTAAATTTGTAATGTAAAAACAATTTAATGTAGGACTTATTTCGGAGCAAAGAAAATCCCCCCAAAAAACCCCATAAAGTCAAGCAATTGTAGAACAATTAGGAATTAGTCTGCAAAGCGACGTTTAATAATAAATAAAGCCCAAGATAACCAAACCATCCCGATTCAATTTAAATTAAAATTTAATTTCGTTTCGTTTATTTTTTTTTCAAATTATTGCTTTGTAATACATTGTATAGCATCAAAAAACAAAACATTATTACCATCTAAAGTTGTTGGGCTTCTCATGGTTCGTAATGCTCACAGATAATGTCGCTTAGAGAATCACAAGGCGCGTCATTCCATTTGAACCAATATAAATGATACAGTGTTATACAGTTTTCAGCTTCATTGCTGGGTTCACCAGTGGCAAAATCAGTATAGATGACGGGCGTGTTATCGGGCCAGAGCAGTGTTCCAGTGTTATTGTTGGCGGATATAAAAAACTTAGAAAATTCAGACCAAGGTACACCTAAAAGAGACAAAGAAGTATTAAAATAGCAACAAGACAGAAGGCCAATAAAAACAAATTAACTAAATTTATATTACAAAAAATTAGGCCTACCCATATAGTATAGTTATAGAAAGGCTACTCAAGCTCGCCATTCAACCATGCGCATGTCAGGACTATATCACGCGGTCGTTCAAAATAGAGACCCCCCCCCCCCCCCCCACACCATTCCGCCATACTGTAGCCGCAATTAGCAACTATGGACTTTCAAAGTGAACACCAAAATGCAAATCGAAATGCTTTTTATGCATATTTCTTCACAGAATGTCCGTGCAATACAGCCATAGTGAGGTGAAGGTCATGATACCCACTAAGGATCTAGAGTAGCCCAACCTGTGTGCTGTTCGAAACCATTTGCGCTGAGATACAGAACACGATTTTGATTGTGCTACACTTTAAAGTATAATGCTTTATTTGTTATGGATATCTGGAATTACAATATTAATGAACTATTATGATAGTACGCTGGTGGTGAATAGGATAAGCAATCAAAAAATTTGTCTTCGTTATATATCACATAGTGTTATAAGTAGTAGGAAACATTATATTTATGTTAAGTACTCCCTCAAAATAATCAAAACAACAACGCCACAGACCAGGTGCCTGTTTCACGAAATTTTAACTAAGATTAAATCCAAATTTTAGTAATTTGATTGGATAATATCAGATTGATTTTAATGCTTAACCAATCAAACTTGAAGTATCTGCTAAAATTTGGATTTTATCTTTAGTTAAGAGTTCGAGAAACAGGGCCCTGGTTCTATTTTCTAAAATTAGAGAAGCATTATTGACATATACATGTGTAGTCCTAAATCTGCTGCGTTCAAAGCTGAACTTGGTGGAAGTTTAAAGGAGATGGTAGACCTATTTCTGTATTTAAGCAATAGATAGCGATAAGAGCTACTAGAATCAAATTCTGTTAAGCTTTCTACAAGCCCGAGTTCAAACGTCACACAAAAGTAAAGATTGCGTTCATGAACCAGAACTGTAGGGATACGATTTTAAACAGTTAATGCAAAACATAATATAAAATGAATTCTTTGACCGATTTAAAAAACATGACGGTAGTTAAGCTCAGACACATCATGTCATTGACAGAGTTTGGTAGACTTTATGACGTCACAAAGGCTTAAACGAGGACCCTTCGAAAATTTAGTTTTAAAACCGTAGTTGTCATCATATATAATTGATATAAAATAAATAGAACAATACTTACTGTATCCTTTGAAATAATCTTTCAAGAATTCGGTAATCTGGCCATGTTTATCAGCATTTCGTACAGTCAGCAGTTCTTCTGATTTTCCTTGACAAAATGCCATAGCATCGTTGTAATTATGTTCTAGATTCGTGTAAAACTTGTAACAGACTCTTTGGGGTCGGTACAAAATATGCCCATCATCCGGTAAACACCAATCTAAATAGTGGAACCAAATTAAATAAATAAATGGTTTCAGATAATAGCACGTATATACGGATGCTCAAATACTTACTATTTCTTTTTGTTTTGATCTTCTATTTTGATTTTCAATTTTACACTTGATTTAACAATTTTAAAGATTAATTTCAATTTTCATATTTTGGATTTTCAAAAATTAAAGATTAATAAAACAAAATTAAAGATTAATTTACAAAATTAACGATTGATTTACAGAATTAAAGATTTATTTAGAGAAATTTACAAAAGTAAATTAAGGATTAATTTAGATTAATTTACAAAATTCAAAATGAATTTACAAAATTCAAAATGAATTTACAAAATTCAAAATGAATTTACAAAATTCAAAATGAATTTACAAAATTCAAAATGAATTTACAAAATTCAAAATGAATTTACAAAATTCAAAATGAATTTACAAAATTCAAAATGAATTTACAAAATTCAAAACTAATTTACAAAATTCAAAATAGAAATTATTTATCTAAATTCAAAATAGAGATATGAAATAAAAGAAAAGAAAACAAAAAAAGTTCGAATTTTAGCTTCCGAAATCTAAAACGTAGTAAGTCTAGTGCGATTGATAACAAAAGTCGGCAAATGTAAATAATGGATAAAATATTATGGTAATGCTTCATGTATGTGGACTTCATCAAGCAAGGGAACATACTAACGTAGCTGGCTTTTCTATTGCAAAGCAATATCAGTGAAATGATATTTTGTGAAAGTTGAATCCAAGTCGTGCCCCTATGATAATAACACTCATCGGTATTTGAGGGAGTGTGAATTTCTTGCGAACTGATGCATGTGAAAATTGTATCTCTAAAAGAGAGAGAGAGAGAGAGAGAGAGAGAGAGAGAGAGAGAAATGGGGTTTAACGTCCACTCGACACAAACCAGGTCATTTCAGGACTAACATATGGTTTAATTTTATTTACATAATTCGCTTGCGCGTAGGGGTCTTTAGCAGTGGGAGGAAACCGGAGGACCCGGAGAAAACCCACGAGGTTGGACAGGCGACCCTACTCCTTGCCACGTACAACCGGGGATTCGAAACCACGCCAGTCGACTCAATGACAGACTTTATGATACAGCGCGCGCACGCTAACCATTCAGCCTCCAACCCCCCGTATCTCTAAAAGGAATACAATAACAAAAATGCTTCCATTCCTTTCATTTAGTATTTACAAAGCTTGGTAAACTGAAAATTTTGCGAGAGAGAGAGAGAGAGAGATGGGGTTTACCGTCCACTCGACACAAACAAGGTCATTTCGGGACTAACATATTTAATATGGTTTAATTTTATTTCAATAATTCGCTTGCTCGTAAGGGTCTTTAGCAGTGGGAGGAAGCCGGAGGACCCGGAGAAAACCCACGAGGTTAGACAGGCGGCCCTGCTCCTTGTCACGTACAACCAAGGATTCGAAACCACCCCAGTTGACTTAATGACAGGCCTTATGATACAGCGCGCACGTGCTAACCATTCGGCCATCCATCCCCCTCCAAAAAAACCCAAAACAAATGCGACACACGGCATCTCCTGGGCTCTGCAGACACCATGAACAGGACAAGGTTAAAACGGACACAACAAATACGGCGAAAATTCATTTTGGCCAAATCGACCACAATTTGGTCAAACTTTGTGTAAGATATCAATGGATTAGGGTTAAATAATAAAATTATTTTATTGGTCATTTTTCTGGCCGCTATGATCAATCTATAGCTGGTTTGACTAAAAGTTAAGGCCGTTTTAACTAATTTAAAGGGCTGTCGTTTGTCTTTACTCTATGTAAGCAATCAGCGCCAAGTATAAGTCTTTTCATAGGTCCTGAAAAATTAGATATTGTACGAAACATGCAGAAGGCGACCCACGGCTTTAGGTTGGATATTTATATAAACACTCATTTGTCATTTCAAGGAGCAATATCTTGAGAAAATTATAGAATTTGAAAGAAGTTATTGGGACATATTTCAAGGAGCAATTTCTCGAGGAAAATATAGAATTTGAAAGAATTTATAAGGAAAAATGAAGAATTTGAAAGAAGTTTTAGAATAATGAAGGTAAATGCAGTTTCTGATAACAATAAACTATTAAAAAAAACTGCTGAATTTGTATAAATTATTTGCGGTATGTGTGGCAATCATACCGTATTATTTAACTTAAAAAATTCCAGAAAATAAATAATTGCATGCTCTTACCTTCGTAAATCTGGTAATAAGCCGAACCAGCCAAAGCAACAGCGTGAGTTGTATTTTGAAATGCAATACTGTGCAGACGACAGGTCTGATTATGACTTAAATAAAAATACGATACGCATTTTTCATTTTCTACACAATGTAGATGACAGGCGGTTAAGGTTTTTGGGCTATCGGCTATCTCTAGGTTATTGGTGTTTATGTTCTTATCGTCATACACATGCCTGCGCAATGCTCTTCCCTGTCTGTAATTGCCTGAAGACGACACCAGCGGCGAAGCTGCAACAGCTACAATTAAATACAGCGACAGCATTGTAATCAGAGTAACGTTAGGTTTATGTTAAACACCTCATAATCAATATGTTAAACACCTCATAACCATCTATTCAGGTTAATGCACAGATTTTTTTGTCAACATAAAAGTGGTTACATTTTATTCTGGATGCAAACTATTCGTGAATGTATTTCTCAAAGATCAACAAGACACTCTGATAAAGAACAAAATAGCCACTTTAACCGTCCTTGACAAAATATCGGACAACAATCTTTTGAGTGGTTAAAAATTTGGAACTATCCTTGATAATTTCTCTTTAAACAATTCACAAGTCAATGAAGAAGAACACCCTTAAACCTTAATTTATGATCTTTCACAAACTATCGGAACACAAACCCTAATTAGAGCTTTTCTTTTCGTGGTAGCCTCTTTCAAATGTGAACGTTGTACTCTTCAATCAACAGCAATGTATCAAAACCTCAATTTACAGTTTTTCCTAAAATGTCAGACCACAGAATCTAATTGAAACCGTCCTGGGATTGTTCCATCAAGGTTACTGTTCTACTGAAAGTATGTAACCCAGTAATCATTAAATATTGTTTCGTCAGAGCAACCAAAGCGATCCGTTGAATTGTTGTACTGCTTTATGCCACCAATATTATGTTTATTAAAATCTTTTTAATCCTAGGTTTAGCATCTTGTGGTTGATCTTTTCGTAAAATACCGGTTAAAACCATACACTCCGATCAATCTATATTCCTGGGTAAACTTAAGTTGAGATTGCTTCAAAATCTCCGATCTATTTGGTGATAAATTTATCTTACATTCAACAGCCAAACAACCATAAACAAGTATCATTGTCAGATCAGCCAATTATTTTTAACTTAAATAGTATCATTCCGTGTGATCGAGCCTCTCCTCGCCCGATATCTAAGCCAATAATTGTCTCCTGGGTGATTTTAGTTTCAGAAAACGTGCAACCGCGACTGCGCTTCAGGGCTTTATATTTTACAGGTCTGAACTACGCATGTGTAGTTTCCAAGGATCGATGTTGATTTCTCTGTGATAAAACACAAACGATTATAGCTTATACACTGGATCAGAAAAAAAAAATGAAAATTCGTGTCACTTATCCAATTATCTGTCATAAATCAGAATGTTTACGGCAATTAAACACCACTCAAAATTACAGAAACAGAAAAATATCCGCCACAGCGGTATTATCACAGCACGATATCTGTAAACCTGTAATGGAGTAATTTCTTCTGAACTATTCATTGAAATATTAATGGAACCCTTATTAAATTAAAGGAAGATTAAACACCCTTTAAAGATACAAAACTTTAAAGGACGGATGGGTCGGTGGGCATGACTTTGCGGTTGACATCCAAGGATTTCCTTTTCAATTTTTTTTATTGGGAGTTTAATATTCACTGATTAATTTTATTATACTTTTAGTTAAAATAAAAAATTAAGGTTAAGATATGAGCGGTATCCGAAAAGTTTCTGGCCCCTCTCTCAGTAATATGCAATCTATATCAAACCTGTTATAATTATTTTCCGACACAATTCCCCTTGGTATCAATGCACTTGCTTCACCGATTATCCGGTATATTTCAGAAAAGGGTTGTTTGTCATGTGATGACATCATCATCCGCCCCACATCTGCGGCCCTTGGGAATGAATTGAAGTTCGGGAAGAAGAAGTGAGATTCGGATAGATCTGGATGAATTTGCTTGAAGCCACAGCCCCGTGACCGCTCTCTGCTACTTGGGCTATGTGAACAGGGGCCTGTTTCACGAAAATTTTACTAAGATAAAATTCAAATTTCAGTAATTTGATTGGATAATATTAGATTGATTTTAGTGCTAAGCCAATCAAAATTGAAGTATCTACTAAAATTTGGATTTTATCTTAAGTTAAAAATTTGTGAAACAGGGCCCTGAAGCATTGCCCCGGAGCAGCCAGACATTTCGGCGATTTTTACCCAGACGCTTGTCTATGATTTGATCACGCAACCCGCATAATTCATCGGCGTAATATGCATCATGGGTCTATGGGTCAGGTTTAATCCTGAGTTATATGACCCAGGAAGGCACACGGATCTTTCCGATAGTCTCGGGAAGCTTTTGACTGATTATGACGCTCTGACGTTTTTGTTCCTTAGTGAACATTCTGGGAACCTAACTGGCTGGCACCGTGTGTAATACTATATATACTGTAGAGGTTATTTAAGTTCTCTAAATGATGCTCTGTTTAATGTATTAAGTCGTTAACTAGTAAAAGTGACAACGAGAACGGGGCTGATTAGATATACCTTGTAGGTTAAAATCGGGCAATGACATCATTACCTAGTACTCCAAATATGGTACCTCATGCTTTAGAAAAGTAGACACCCGTCATCCGCCCCTCCTTATTGGTGCCCATTATAGAAGATTGTGTTTAAATCCAGAGTAACTTCTGGGCAGCTGACTAGTCAGATAAAGGATGTGGCTGGCCAATTTCCCGGGGGTCAGTCTATGACTCACGCTCTTATCCTCCTTACAAGAAAGAGCGGGGTTTAATTTTCTTTAGACACCATTTGAAGTTCGTAGAGAGACACCGTAGAGCGGTCCTAGACAGATGTTTAGTCGACTCGGCTTAGGGGCTGGGATAGAAACGGCATGTAGTGTTTCAGCCGTTAGGTCTGAGTTCTGGGCTTGTTAAGGGCAAGGTAAAGTGACACCATCTTGTTGCATAGTATTATAGTCTCAACACCAACAAGACTGAAGAGGCCCTTGTATATAAACGTCCAAAATAAACTCTATTACTCACAATACACTATTTCACTGTCAACACCCCTTTAATCCGTACATCACGTAAACGAAAATTTCAGTTTCATCACTTTCTTGCCCAATCACGGTTACACCTACAGACAAAACGATAAAACTTTGGGACAGTTATTATCTCTCTATTTATACTCTGATCTATTTAGTACAGTAGTGGAGTCTTAGATTTTCGAGTTGCTTTCCTATTTCCTTGTAGTGTGAGATTTCCACGTCCTTGCTACCACGGGGTTGGGTTTCGCCATTTTCTTTTTCAATCTTGAAAATGACCTTTCATATCTTTAGACGAGTGATGCGAATAATCGTTAAACTGACAACGCTTAGCGGAACATTGTATCGATATGCAAAGGTTTCATTTACATCACCATACATACAATTATGTCGTATTCCCTTTAGTAGTAACACATTTTGCCGTTGTATAAATGTAAACAATGATTCGTAGGTAAAAACACAACACAGTTTATATGGAAATACAATCACTGGTTTATAAGTATAGCACGACGTTTCGACAAGTATTCCCTTATCGTTATCAAGCACAAATGATATTTAGTTAAACTAAAAGGTGATATTTATAGTAAAACAAAAAAGAAGCCATAGATAAATGCTGTTATAATACAAGATAATAGTTAAATTGATCAAAGGATAATTAAAACTTAAATATAGTTAATTGATGGGGGTTAACAGTGACCAGGGAGCAACAAAGCCATATATTTGATATAGACAAAATAAACACAATTTGAAGCCCTATTAATAAGAAATTTATAATAATGTATAAATTGATCAAAGGATAATTAAAACTTAAATATTAGTTAATTGATAGGGGTTAACAATAATCAGTAGTTAACAATAGTCAGGGAGCAACAAAGCCATAAATTTGATATAGACAAAATAAACAATTTGAAGCCCTATAAGTAAGTAATGTATAATAATGGATGTATACAGTATAACCCCTTAATTACAAAATATGGTTTATATAACAGGTATTATACTTCTCTAAGCTAATTAAGGGGGAGAGGGGGGGGGGGAGAGCAGTATGATTGAAGTTAGGTTTTATAATATGTAGAAATGGCCAAAAAAGAACAACAAAAGAAGAAAACAATGTGATTAAAATTAGGTTATATAATAACTAGAAATGTCCAAAAGAAACAAATAGGAAAACTATGGGCCAATAGACAATTATTTCTCCATCTTAATTAGTTCATCATAGGCCTTTGGTATATATAACCCTGGGCTGTGGCGTTTGATTTGGATGGCTTCTATGATTTTCCTGTTTTTCTTTTGGTGTTTATGTATGGCTAGGGTTTGGACATTCTTCCAGTCTGGTTCGTGACCCTGGTTCTTGCTTATATGTTCTGCTATTGCGGATACATTGGTTTTGGCTCTAGACTTATGTTCTGATATACGTTTGTCATGTGGTCTTTTCGTTTCACCTATGTATGCCTTGCCGCAAAAGCAGTCTACTTTGTATACTACTCCTTTTGGTTGACTTGGGTTGGTTGGTAGTTGTTTCCCATTTGCATTTAGGATCTGTTTTAAAGTTGTGGAGGTGGTGAATGTTGTTCCAATATTCACTTTCTTCAGGATTCTGCTTACTTGGTAAGATATTTTCCCATAGAATGGCAACATAACTTTGATGTCTGGTTTTTCAGGTTTATCTTTCTGGTGGATGGGATTTAGGGTGGATTCAATAACATGGTTGACAAATTTAATCGGGTAGCTGTTTAGGGTACAGAAGGCGCGTCGAAGATGGTCAAGCTCTGCATGGAGGTAACCAGGATCACAAATGTTGCGGGCTCTTCGGGTTAAACAGGAAACTACAGATCTTTTAACATTGGTAGGATGTGTAGAGTTGAAGTTGATGTATTGATCCGTATGGGTAGGTTTCCGGTACACGTTGGTTGTTATGGTGTTGTTTACTCTATGGACGTGCACGTCTAGGAATGGGAGTGAATGGTCAACTTCTGTCTCCATGGTAAATTTAATCCTCGGGTGCTGGTTGTTGAGGTGGTCAAGGAGAGCTGTTGGATCATCTTCTTTCTCTAGTATAACGAAAGTATCATCAACCTTGCGGAAATAACAAACTGGGTTTATCGTAGTTGACTGGAGGGCACGTTCTTCAAATCTAGTGACAAAGATTTCTGAGATGAGTGGAGATAACGGGCTTCCCATTGGTAGGCCATGGATCTGTTCAAAAATTTCATCTCCCCAGGTGAAGTAGGTGGAGTTAATGCACATGCTAACTAAACTAACTATATTATCTGTTGACAAATTGGTTCCCAACGGTTGTTCTAGGTTGGGTTTATCGTAGTTGACTGGAGGGCACGTTCTTCAAATCTAGTGACAAAGATTTCTGAGATGAGTGGAGATAACGGGCTTCCCATTGGTAGGCCATGGATCTGTTCAAAAATTTCATCTCCCCAGGTGAAGTAGGTGGAGTTAATGCACATGCTAACTAAACTAACTATATTATCTGTTGACAAATTGGTTCCCAACGGTTGTTCTAGGTTGTTGATTTGTGATCTTAGGGCTTCCATGGCTTTATCCCTGGGCACATTGGTGAATAAGTCTACCACGTCATAAGATACAATTTTCCCTGGGTCTTTTATATTTCTGATCTTTTCACAAAACATGGTGGAATCTGGAATAAAAGAAGATGCAACCTTGCCTAGTGGTGAGAGTAGTTTGCTGAGATGCTGAGCAACATTGTAGAAAACGGAGTCTCTTGAGCATACAAGTAATCTGGCTCTAACAGGGTTCTTATGGGTCTTGATGGTGGCACGGGCGTATGGTGGTTGTGGGTGATTGCAGCGGAATTGGTAAAATTGGTTTTTGGTGATCTGTTCTTGTTCTCTCAATTCTTCAAGTTTACTGTTTAGTTGTTTTTCTAGTTTGGTGGTAGGGTCTTTTCTTATTCGTCTATAGGTAGAAGTATCTTGGAGCAGGTTATTAACGGTGGAGTGGTAGTCTTTGGTATCCATGATCACTGTGGATTTCCCTTTGTCAGCAGGAATTATGGTTATGGAACGGTCTTTCTTAAGTTCTTGTATGGCTATTCGTTGTTCTTTATTAATGTTGTTCCGTTTTTTGCTGGTTTTTGATTTAATAATTAAATTGGCGATTTGATGGCGCAGAA